CCTTCCTCTGCGCGCCACGCCCTTCTGAGGACCAGAAAACTGAACTCACCAAACATTTCAGCCTCATTTCTACATGACTCGAGTGTTCTCATGCTGCACACGGATCCACGGCAGAAACAGACCGAGTGACGAGCAAGAGCAGGGACAATGAAAAGGAAGAAGCAGCTGTTGCACCTTCGAATTATTACCCACCGCACATACACACACACRAACACACACATATACACAAAGGAACGGACTGCTTCAACTCGTAATCCTGATTTATTTCTCTTTAAATCACATTTCATGAGTTCATCAAACCCTGCTTTAAGCAGCCACCTCCCACATCTGCCCCCAAAACAATGTTCTACTGAACAATGGAACCAGTGGTGGACGCACTTGTTTTTTTTCTTTCCTGCTAACAAGCAAATTACACTTGGCTGAAAAACGCATCATCGGGTGGATGTGAAGTWTAGCTTTCCAGAAATGACAAAAAGAGCGCCAGAATTTGACTTTCTCTTCTCTTCTCCACAAACAGAAGCTGACCTCCGCGAGCCAAAAAGAACATTTGATCAAGGACAAATGCTCTCGCAGGCAGTTTGATGGCAAAAAAAAAAAGGTTTTAGCAGCAGTTGAAGGAGGCTTCATGACTAATCAATGAGGATTTTACTTTGTTTTCCTTAATAAAATCAATTAAAGGTCTTGGTTTCCTGGAAGGAATGCGGATCGCCCACCACTTTTCACGCTAGAGTTTTGAACTTAAATCCTCTTAATGACAAACAGGAATGAAGTCACTGGCATTTTAGTGCCAGTGCTCAGAAAATATGTTGAGGATGACTTTCAGCTACTACCACATTGAATTTAAGCTCAATGGCTGTAAAACTGACTGAGTTATGACAAATTTTACGTTGCAAGTCATTTCCCTAGGGCAGCCATTTTGAATTGGGTTGACTCAAAAAGTTCATGAGTAACAGATGAACACTCAATGATTAATTTATGAGAGTTCTATTCAAATCTGTCCAGTGATTCATGAGATATATTACCAACAGACAAACGGTTAATGTTAATAGTTAATACCAAAGTTTTATGCAAAGATGCAAAGTAAAGTGTAGCGCTCAGAAAACATGTTGAGGATGAATTCAAGCTACTACCACAATAAAGTTAAGCTCAATAACTGGAAAACTGACAGAGGTATGACAATTTTGTGTTGGCAAGAGTCAWTTAGCTGTGTCGGCCATCTTGAATCGGGTTGGGTCTAAAAGGTAATCAGTTGTACTTTCTGTAAATTCCATTTCAATCCTTCTTGTGGTTCGTGTGATATTTTGCTAACAGACAGACACAATCGACACCATTAATTGCAACGTTTTGAACTCAAACCTCAAACTATCACTTAGTGCTTGAAGTATGAGTTGGGTACGACTCTCAGCTACTACCATACCAAATTTTAGCTCAATACTAGCAAAACGGACTGAGTTATAGGTATTTTTTGTGTTTGATAAGGTAGCTTAGCTGTGGCGGCCATCTTGGTTGGAGCTGACTTTACTTTCAGTGTGTGTGTGGTGGGGGGATGCTGTGCTCTTTTGTGGAATATAATATCACTGGTTGAATTTATGGAGTCAGCGCCATCCTTTTCCATCAAGCCACACCTTCCAAACGTGAGTGGCTGATGGTTTAAATCCCGGTTGTAAGGATTTGAAAAGCAACAGTCACACATTAGTTGTGCAACAGGTAGCTGGGGATCGCGAAGCACTAATTCCTGAGGAGCGAGTATCCACAGATGTCAGAGTGTTGGTTTAAAAGAAATGTTAAAAAGGTGTGTGCGTGGAGGAGGAGTGCTTCGAACTCTCCAAGAGCTCAGGCAGCKATCTCACGGCTCAGATAGACACACAATGAATTTACAATTCTCTCACATCTGATCCTCGCGGCTCCCTTAAGCTATGTTGTACGAGAGAGTCGGTGAGGGAAAGGAGGGGGAAAAAAAAGAAAAAGAAAAAGAAAAATCGGCTTCCTCGAAAAAGAAAACAATGGCTACAAGAATTTTGCAGCTTTTGAAAGCTGTTGAATTTAAAAATTCGACGCTCCGAATGCACTCGAAACAAAAGCCTTGGGCTGATTCAACATAAACAAGCTCCTAATAATAAAAAAAAAGAAATAATTATCATTATTAAACAGGCGTCTCTGTGCATATTTACCTTCCCAATTTTCACMAATCAAGAGAAGATGGGAGAAAAGTGGAAGTTGAACAGACACCACTTTCAAGCAGAAACTGATTGGAGGCAGCGATGGGCGTCCGCCCGGCGCACCAACTCGACCTCTGATTGGTCGTGACGGACAGGTGAGGGGGGGGGGAATCAGCTGGACGTGTCTCCTGCTGCCCAAAACCAGAGCTTCCACTTCAACCGGGATCAGCCGGGGAGTATTAATGGATTCAAAGTGGATCAACTGATGGCTATCGTGTTTTTCTGTTTTGACTTAGTGAGCAATGACAAGCCAACACACACACTCACACACACACATACACACATATATCACAAACACATCTGCATGTGGTGCAATGCAGATGTTTACACCCAGGTCTAAGGTTTTTCTCCACGTGTAAAAAAAAATATAAAGTTTAATTATTTTTTCTTGATGAACTAAGCTGAACACGCAACTGTTGTGTTTACAAAAAGTTGGCACTTCTTCTCAAAATATCACATTTTTRTTTCAAATAATCCAGGTCAGAGAGATGATTAAGTGAAAAACGTGTCTTTTTTTCCCGCTACATTTGCTGTTTAACATGTAAACAAACTTTACAGGCAGATATAAACGTGTTTAATAATCAACAATAGCTTCTTGTCTAATAAACTATTAACCAGGTTCACAGCTCCTTTCTGGATCACTAATATTAATTAACTCAACTCAGAAACTCTTTTTTTATGGAAATAATGAAAATATTTAATGAGCTTTCTTTTTTATTTGTTTAATCCAATTACATTATATTTATTTTACACTAAATGCATTATATTTAACTGAGGTTAAACAACAAATGGTAATTTTTTGTAATATTTGTAACATTTTCCTTCGTTTTTTTACACACAAAAAGGTGTGTTTTAAACCTCACATGGCACAGAATATTCCATAAGTAAGAATTTAAAATGAAGCTCTCAAACATAAAAACTTGTTAAACATAAACATTGTGCTTTAATTTCAATATTAATTATCCTAAATTAATAAAACTAAGTGTGAAGTTCACAAATGGCCTAATACAGTAGTTGCAAAAACTTTAAAAC